CACACCAACCACACCACCCACACCACCCACACCAACCACACCAACCACACCACCCACACCAACCACACCAACCACACCACCCACACCACCCACACCAACCACACCAACCACACCAACCACACCACCCACACCACCCACACCACCCACACCAACCACACCAACCACACCACCCACACCACCCACACCACCCACACCAACCACACCAACCACACCACCCACACCACCTACACCACCCACACCACCCACACCACCCACACCAACCACACCAACCACACCACCCACACCACCCACACCAACCACACCAACCACACCAACCACACCACCCACACCACCCACACCAACCACACCAACCACACCAACCACACCACCCACACCAACCACACCAACCACACCACCCACACCAACCACACCAACCACACCAACCACACCACCCACACCAACCACACCAACCACACCACCCACACCACCCACACCACCCACACCAACCACACCACCCACACCACCCACACCAACCACACCACCCACACCACCCACACCAACCACACCACCCACACCACCCACACCACCCACACCAACCACACCACCCACACCAACCACACCAACCACACAACCCACACCAACCACACCACCCACACCACCCACACCACCCACAACAACCACACCAACCACACCAACCACACCACCCACACCAACCACACCACCCACACCACCCACACCACCCACAACAACCACACCAACCACACCAACCACCACCACCACCACCCCCTTTGAGAGCTGGAGGAGAGGAGAGATGAGATGAGCCCGTCCAGAACTTTCCGAGGGATTTGTGAGCTCCTCCTACTCCTTCTGCCAGTCTCACACCCGAGATGGGGCCTGCAGGCTAAGCGCACGCCACACCAACCACACCAACCACACCACCCACACCAACCACACCAACCACACCAACCACACCACCCACACCACCCACACCACCCACACCAACCACACCACCCACACCACCCACACCACCCACACCACCCACACCACCCACACCAACCACACCACCCACACCACCCACACCACCCACACCAACCACACCAACCACACCACCCACACCAACCACACCAACCAAACCACCCACACCACCCACACCAACCACACCAACCACACCAACCACACCACCCACACCACCCACACCAACCACACCACCCACACCACCCACACCAACCACACCACCCACACCACCCACACCAACCACACCACCCACACCACCCACACCACCCACACCACCCACACCACCCACACCAACCACACCAACCACACCACCCACACTACCCACACCAACCACACCAACCACACCACCCACACCAACCACACCACCCACACCACCCACACCAACCACACCACCCACACCACCCACACCACCCACACCAACCACACCACCCACACCACCCACACCAACCACACCAACCACACCAACCACACCAACCACACCAACCACACCACCAACCACACCACCCACACCAACCACACCACCCACACCACCCACACCAATCACACCACCCACACCAACCACACCAACTACACCACCCACACCAACCACACCAACCACACCACCAACCACACCACCACCACCACCCACACCACCCACACCACCCACACCACCCACACCACCCACACCAACCACACCACCCACACCACCCACACCACCCACACCAACAACACCACCCACACCAACCACACCAACCACACCACCCACACCACCCACACCAACCACACCACCCACACCACCCACACCACCCACACCAACAACACCACCCACACCAACCACACCACCCACACCACCCACACCAACCACACCACCCACACCACCCACACCACCCACACCAACAACACCACCCACACCAACCACACCACCCACACCACCCACACCACCCACACCACCCACACCAACCACACCAACAACACCACCCACACCACCCACACCACCCACACCACCCACACCACCCACACCAACCACCACCAACCACACCACCCACACCAACCACACCACCCACACCACCCACACCAACCACACCACCCACACCACCCACACCACCCACACCAACAACACCACCCACACCAACCACACCACCCACACCACCCACACCACCCACACCACCCACACCAACCACACCAACAACACCAACAACACCACCCACACCACCCACACCACCCACACCACCCACACCACCCACACCAACCACCACCAACCACACCAACCACACCAACCACACCACCCACACCAACCACACCACCCACACCAACCACACCAACCACACCACCCACACCACCCACACCACCCACACCACCCACACCACCTACACCACCCACACCACCCACACCAACCACACCACCACCACCCCCAAGGATGAATCCTAGGGGTCAGCCCCGTTGTGAACGTCTCTCGACCCGGCACAGATGTTCCATTGGTGGTGGGGGGTGGTGGTGGTGGTGGGTGGGGTGGGTGGGGTGGGTGGGACAGGCACGTGCGGTAAGGGGAGGCGGCAGAGCCTCACCGCCCGTCACGCGCCAATGAAAACAAGGCCGTTACTAAAAGTTAAAAACGAAGAACGACCGAAAATAAAATATTAATATTTTTAGTTGTTTTTCCTCCCCCCGCCCGCCGCACGTTATGAAAATTCGCTTCCTGTACGATTCGCCATCACTTTGATGGTGGTGGTAAAACAAAAATCGACAAATTTTGCAAATGCGAGGGGGTGGGGGGGGGGGGGGGAGAGGCGAGGAGGTGAGGCAGCGACCAGCCCAGCCTCCCCTCTCTGATTGCGCAACCCCTCAGTAACAGGACGGAGCGCATGGCAATAAGCCCGTTTACTATCTCTCTCTCTCTCTGTGTGTGTGTCACCAATGCAGATGTTTGTAGAACGCCCTCCTCCCGCCCTTCATTTCACGTCCTCGCCTTCCACACCCCGGGTAACTTATTTCACCGTGGTGTGTATGAAGGTGTTGCGGGCTCGCTGGTCTCGTCGTGAAACTGCAAATGAAAAAGCGCCAAGGGGAGGCAGCTATCACGTCTGCCTCACCGAGGGGGTGTGCCTAACACGCCCCCCCCACCTCCGTTAGGCCACGCCCCTGTGAGGCCACGCCCCCTCCATGAGGCCACGCCCCCTCCGTGAAGAAGCCCCCTGCGAGGGGCCACGCCCCTCCATGATGCCACGCCCTCTCCGTGAGGCAAGGACCCGTCCGAGAGGCAACGCCCCCTACGTGAGGCCACGCCCCCTCAATGAGGCCACGCCTCCTCCGTGAGGCCACGCCCCCTCCGTGGCCGAGAATCTCCCATGCCGAGCGACAGACCAAGGCGACACAGCTTCCACCAGCGGCGGCGGTGTAGCGAACCCATTTGAGGCCGAGTCGACCTAGGGGAGGCCCAGGACCGGTTTGGATGACGATCACCGGAGGCGTTGGCCGGGAATGGAACTCTGCCCTTTGCCCAAGTCGCAGCCCCAACCGCTGCACCACCGCTCCCCCCAAAGACGGTAGTAGCGCTAACCGCTGCACCACCGCTCCCCCCCCAGACGCAGCGCGCTAACCACTGCACCACCGCTCCCCCCAAAGACGTAGCGACGTAGCGCTAACCGCTGCACCACCGCTCCCCCCAGACGCACCGCGCTAACCGCTGCACCACCGCTCCCCCCAAAGTCGTAGCGCTAACCACTGCACCACCGCTCCCCCCAGACGTAGCGACGTAGCGCTAACCGCTGCACCACCGCTCCCCCCAGACGCACCGCGCTAACCGCTGCACCACCGCTCCCCCCAAAGTCGTAGCGCTAACCACTGCACCACCGCTCCCCCCAGACGTAGCGCTAACCACTGCACCACCGCTCCCCCCAGACGTAGCGCTAACCGCTGCACCACCGCTCCCCCAAAGACGCACCGCGCTAACCACTGCACCACCGCTCCCCCCCAGACGCACCGCGCTAACCGCTGCACCACCGCTCCCCCCCAGACGTAGCGCTAACCGCTGCACCACCGCTCCCCCCAGACGCACCGCGCTAACCGCTGCACCACCGCTCCCCCCCCAGACGTAGCGCTAACCGCTGCACCACCGCTCCCCCCAAAGTCGTAGCGCTAACCGCTGCACCACCGCTCCCCCCCCAGACGTAGCGCTAACCGCTGCACCACCGCTCCCCCCCAGACGCGCCGCGCTAACCACTGCACCACCGCTCCCCCCAAAGTCGTAGCGCGCTAACCACTGCACCACCGCTCCCCCCAAAGACGCACAGCGCTAACCACTGCACCACCGCTCCCCCCAGACGCACCGCGCTAACCACTGCACCACCGCTCCCCCCAAAGACGCACAGCGCTAACCACTGCACCACCGCTCCCCCCAGACGCACCGCGCTAACCACTGCACCACCGCTCCCCCAGACACAGCGACGTAGTGCTGACCGCACGCCCAGCGACACAGTAAGGAGGGACAAGGTGGCACACAACGTGTTTGGTTGTGATTGCAGGGCACTCTTTATTAGCCCAGGGCACACACGTGTTGTAGTTGTACACACACACACGTGTTGTAGTTGTACACACACACACGTGTTGTTGTACACACACACACACGTGTTGTTGTACACACACGTATTGTAGTTGTTGTTGTACACACACACACACGTGTTGTTGTACACACACACACGTGTTGTTGTAGTTGTTGTTGTACACACACACGTGTTGTAGTTGTTGTTGTACACACACACGTGTTGTAGTTGTTGTTGTACACACACACGTGTTGTAGTTGTTGTTGTACACACACACACACACGTGTTGTAGTTGTTGTTGTACACACACACACACACGTGTTGTAGTTGTTGTTGTACACACACACACGTGTTGTAGTTGTTGTTGTACACACACACACACACGTGTTGTAGTTGTTGTTGTACACACACACACACACGTGTTGTAGTTGTTGTTGTACACACACACGTGTTGTAGTTGTTGTTGTACACACACACACACGTGTTGTAGTTGTTGTTGTTGTGTACACACACACACACACGTGTTGTTGGGCACGTGTTGTAGTTGTTGTTGGGCACGTGTTCAGCGCTGGGCGGTGGGGGCGTGACGAGACGAGGCCTAGAACTGGATGACTTGGCCCTGGGGGAGACACGGTGCGCAGAGAGACAAGGACGCACAGACACACACACAGAGACACACAGACACATAGACACACACAGACACACGCGCAGAGACACACGCAGAGAGACATGCAGACACGGACACACAGACACACGCAGACATGGACACACACAGACACACGCAGACACACACACGCAGACACACACACGCAGACACACAGACGCAGACACACACGCAGAGACACACACAGACACACACGCGCAGACACATACAGCGACACAGACACACACACGGACACGCGCAGATACACACAGACAGACACACACACAGCAACGGACACACACGCAAAAACACACCCATGCAGACACACAGCGACACGGACACACACACAGACACACACACACCCCCAGACACGAATGAACACCCAGACAGACACACACGGACACACACACGCAAAGTTAGTCTCTCCATGCACAAACCAAAATACGGTTTCCATACATCGGATTTGTGTGGATGAGTGGGTGGACGAGTGGGTGACGGTGGATGGGTGAGTAGATGGCTGAGTGAGTAGATGGCTGAGTAGATGGCTGGGTGGGTGAGTAGATGGCTGGGTGAGTGAGTAGATGGCTGGGTGAGTGAGTAGATGGCTGGGTGGGTGAGTAGATGGCTGGGTGAGTAGATGGGTGGGTGGGTGAGTAGATGGCTGGGTGGGTGAGTAGATGGCTGGGTGGGTGAGTAGATGGCTGGGTGGGTGAGTAGATGGCTGGGTGGGTGAGTAGATGGCTGGGTGGGTGGGTAGATGGCTGGGTGGGTGAGTAGATGGCTGGGTGGGTGAGTAGATGGCTGGGTGGGTGAGTAGATGGGGGAGTGTGTGGGTGAGTAGATGGCTGGGTGAGTAGATGGGGGAGTAGGTGGGCGAGTAGATGGCTGAGTGAGTAGGTGGCTGAGTGGGTGAGAAGATGGCTGGGTGGGTGAGTAGATGGGTGAGTGGGTGGGCGAGTAGATGGGTGAGTGGGTGGGCGAGTAGATGGGTTAGTGGGCAAGTGCGTGGGTGGACGACTGGGCTGAGCAGGCGGGTGAGTGGGTGTAGGGTGAGTAGAGTGTAGGGTGGTGTGAGTGGTGGGTGGGTGGTGTGTGTAGTGGGTGGTGGGTGGGTGGTGTGTGTGGTGTGTGGTGTGTGTAGTGGGTGGTGTATGTAGTGGGTGGTGTGTGTAGTGGGTGGGTGGTGCGTGTAGTGGGTGGGTGGTGTGTGTAGTGGGTGGAGTGTGTAGTGGGTGGATGGTGGAGTGTGTAGTGGGTGGAGTGTGTAGTGGGTGGAGTGTGTAGTGGGTGGTGTGTGTAGTGGGTGGTGCGTGTAGTGGGTGGGTGGTGGTGTGTGTGTGTAGTGGGTGGAGTGTGTAGTGGGTGGTGGTGTGTGTAGTGGGTGGGTGGTGCGTGTAGTGGGCGGGTGGTGCGTGTAGTGGGTGGTGTGTGTAGTGGGTGGGTGGTGGGTGCGTGGTGTGTGTAGTGGGTGGGTGGTGCGTGTAGTGTGTGGGTGGAGTGTGTAGTGGGTGTGTGGTGTGTGTAGTGGGTGGGTGGTGTGTGTAGTGGGTGGGTGGTGTGTGTAGTGGGTGGTGCGTGTAGTGGGTGTGTGGTGTATGTAGTGGGTGGTGTGTGTAGTGGGTGGTGTGTGTAGTGGGTGGGTGGTGCGTGTAGTGGGTGGAGTGTGTAGTGGGTGGTGTGTGTAGTGGGTGGGTGGTGCGTGTAGTGGGTGGGTGGTGCGTGTAGTGGGTGGAGTGTGTAGTGGGTGGAGTGTGTAGTGGGTGGAGTGTGTAGTGAGTGGAGTGTGTAGTGGGTGGGTGGTGGTGTGTGTGGTGTGTAGTGGGTGGAGTGTGTAGTGGGTGGAGTGTGTAGTGGGTGGGTGGTGCGTGTAGTGGGTGGAGTGTGTAGTGGGTGGGTGGTGTGTGTAGTGGGTGGATGGTGGAGTGTGTAGTGGGTGGAGTGTGTAGTGGGTGGTGTGTGTAGTGGGTGGGTGGTGCGTGTAGTGTGTGTGTGGTGTGTGTAGTGGGTGGTGTGTGTAGTGTGTGGTGTGTGTAGTGGTGTGTGTAGTGGGTGTGTGGTGTGTGTAGTGGGTGGGTGGTGGTGTGTGTGGTGTGTAGTGGGTGGTGTGTGTAGTGGGTGTGTGGTGTGTGTAGTGGGTGGGTGGATGGTGGTGTGTGTAGTGGGTGGTGTGTGTAGTGTGTGTAGTGGGTGGAGTGTGTAGTGTGTGGTGTGTGTAGTGGGTGGAGTGTGTAGTGGGTGGAGTGTGTAGTGGGTGGTGTGTGTAGTGGGTGGTGTGTGTAGTGGGTGGATGGTGGAGTGTGTAGTGGGTGGAGTGTGTAGTGGGTGGGTGGTGGAGTGTGTAGTGGG